AAATTTATATGATTTTTTTCACATAAATAGAGCTTTCTTTTGGTGGTATTTGATGACCACTGTTTTTTGGTTTTTTTTTTGATATATAAACCAAAAAAGACAGAAAATTTTGAAACAACATGATATTTTCCACTTTCTGTTAAAAAAAAACATATCCAATAAAAAGAACTTAAAAATCAGATTTCTTCATACATTTAGACCAAAATGTATTCTGCTTCATGTCTTTAGGAAGACAAAAAAATCCCAATAAGTGTATTTTAATTGCTTTGTGTGAAAGTTATAGCATCTACAAACTATGGTAGGGCAGCACAATGGCTAAATGGTTAGCACTTCCGCCTGGCAGCACTTGGGTCATTGGTTCGAATCCCAGCCACGGCACCACCTGCCTGGAGTTTGCATGTTCTCCCTGTGCCTGCGTGGGTTTCCTCCGGGTACTCCGTTTCCTCCCATACTCCAAAGACATGCTGGTAGGTTAATTGGATCCGGTCTAAATTGGCCCTAGTATGTGTATGTATGAATGTGAGTTAGAGACCTTAGATTGTACACCCCTTGAGGGTTAGGGACTGATGTGAATGTACAATATATATGTGTAAAGCGCTGTGTAAATTGACGGCGCTATAGAAATACCTGAAATAAAAAAAAAAAAAAAAAAAATATACACTCACTGGCCACTTTATTAGGTACACTTTGCAAGTACTGGGTTGGACCCCCTTTTGCCTTCAGAACTGATTTAATTCTTCGTGGCATAGAATCAACAAGTTGTTAGAAACATTGACATGAGTTACTGTTGCCTTTCATCATCTCAAACCTTTCTCCTCTGACATCAACAAGGCATTTTTGTCTACATAACTGCCACTCACTGGATATTTTCTCTTTTTTGGACCATTCTCTGTAAACCCTAGAGATGGCTGTGTGTAAAAATCCAAGTAGATCAGCAGTTTTTGAAATACTCAAACCAGCCCATCTGCACAATCAACCATGCCATGTTCAAAGTCACTTAAATCCCCTTTCTTCCCAATTCTGATACTCGGTTTGAACTTCAGCAAGTCATCTTCACCACGTCTAGATGCCTAAATGCATGGAGTTGCTGCCATGTGATTGGCCAATTAGCAATTTGTGTTACCAAGCAATTGAACAGGTGTACCTAATAAAGTGGGCAACGAGTTTATATACGGGAACTTACGCAGCTATAATGCTATACTGGTAATGGCGGTGATCAGTGACCTATATTGGGACAATGCATTTGTATTCAGCCCCCTTTACTTTGATACTCCTAACAAAAATCTAGTGGAACCAATTGCCTTCACAAGTCACCTAATTAGTAAATAGAGTCCACCTGTGTGTATTGTAATCTCAGTGTAAATACAGCTGTTCTGTGAAGCTCTGAGAGGTTTGTTAGAGAACATTCGTGAACAAACAGCATCATGAAGGCCAAGGAACACACCAGACAGGTCAGGAATAAAGTTGCGGAGATGTTTAAAGCAAATATCCCATAAAAAATATTAAAAAAATATCCCAAGCTTTGAACATCTCAAGCACTGTTCAATCCATCATCCGAAAATGTAAAGAGTATGGCCCAAGTGCAAAGCTACCAAGACATGGCCATCCACCTAAACTGATAGTCCAGGCAAGAAGAGCATTAATCAGAGAAGCAGCCAAGAAGAGGCCCATGGTAACTCTGGAGAAGCTGCAGAGTTCCACAGATTAGGTTGCAGATTAGGTTGCAGAATCTGTCCACAGGACAACCATTAGTCAATAACTCCACAAATCTGGCCTTTATGGAAGAGTGGCAAGAAGAAAGTCATTGTTCAAGAAAGCCATAAGGAGTCCTGTTTTGCAGCTTGCGAGAAGACACAGCAAACATGTGGAAGAAGGTGCTCTGATCAGAGGAGACCAAATTTAAACTTTCTGGCCTAAAACCAAAACGCTATGTATGGTGAAAAACGAACACTGCACATCACCCTGAACACACCATACCCGCTTTGAAACATGGTGGTGGCAGCATCATGTTATGGGGATGATTTTCTTCAGCATGGACAGGGAAGCTGGTCAGAGTTGATGGGAAGATGGATGGAGCCAAATACACGGCCATCTATTAGAGTCTGAAAAAGACATGGGTCTGCGCCGAAGGTTCACCTTCCAGCAGGACAACGACCCTAAACATACAGCCAGAGCTACAATGGAATGGTTTAGATCAAAGCATATTCATGTGCTAGAATGACCCAGTCAAAGTCCAGACCTAAATCCAATTGAGAATCTATGGCAAGACTTGAAAATTGCTGGTCACAGACACTCTCCGTCCAATCTGACAAAGCTTGAGCTATTTTGCATAGAAGAATGGTTAAAAATGTCACTCTAGATGTGAAAAGCTGCTAGAGACATACCCAAAAAAGACTTGCAGCTGTAATTGCAGCGAAAGGTGGTCCTACAAAGTGTTGACCCAGAGGGCCTGAATACAAATGCACTCCACACCTTTCAGATATTTTTTTGTAAAAAAATTTTGAAAACCATATATCATTTTCCTTCCACTTCACAATTATGTACCACTTTGTGTCGGTCTACCACATAAAATCCCAATAAAAATCCCAATAAAATACATTTACATTTTTGGTTGTAATATGACAAAATGTGCAAAATTTCAAGGGGTATGAATAGTTTTTCAAGACACTGTATTATATATTATAGGCTGCTTAGCTAGATGTTCGTAGTGCCTTAAATGCCTATTCTTAATTTTGAGGCTTAACGAGGCCTTAGCAATATGAGCGGTCTCCCCATTAGGAGCACTTACTTCAATATACCCAGTCTTATTTTTTCTTGAAATTACTTCTGGAAATGACAAAGGCATCTTGGTTTATTGCCTTCTAACTCTGCAAGATTTTGTTTATTTAATTTATTCATCTCCCACGTTTGTCACTTTTTTCTTTCGCTTATGTGTGTGTTTCACGGACGGAGGGTGTGGGTCCTCGGGCCTACCCTGAAGTCTAGGGGGAGGATGTGTGGCCTTTTGGTTCCTTCCTCCCCTGATCCCTAGGGGGCTTTTCTGCGGGAGAGCCCCCTGACCAAGTACTGGGTGTCTGGCTTCGGCTGGACACAAGGAACGGTGGTCCACCAGGCCTTTTGGCCAGGAGGACCAATTGGGAACCTTGTCCCCGTCAGGAGCTTCGTGCCCCGGGGGATCAGGGTAAGCGGTCCAAGCCCCTTTAGGGGTAGGACACAGCACACCCCTAAGTGCACTTTTTCGTGTGGTGTTTTGCACTTGCACATTTTTTGTGAACACTTACGGGTTTTTTCGTTATAGTTGCACGTTTGCGGACTTAAACAAAAAAAAAACTCTGCAAGATTCACATTATGTGCAACCCTTACACTATATGGGCACACTCATAATTAGGAGCAATACAGTACTACCACAGTATAATTAGTCTCTGCTGTTTTTCCTGTGAACAATTCCTCAGGAAAGAATGAAGACATCTTAGAATGTTACTTTTGCCTATTGTGCTTTACAATATACTGACTCCTTTCACAATAAAAGTGCTCTCCTTATTAAAGTGGTAACAAACTCCAAACCAAAAAAGTTTATATATTGCAGCTTACTTATTATTTGATGTGGTAGCTGCATTCGTTTTCTTTTTCCTGTTTTAACCTGGTGATCTGGCCAGTAAAACACCTCCTCTATTAATGAGACATCTTTGGAGGGCTAAGCACAGGAGGCACAGCAGACAGCAGCATTGTCATTCTGGGGGGGGGGAGGGGAGTGTTGAATTACCTTAGATTGTACGACCCTTGAGGGTTAGGGACTGATGTGTGTAGATGGCCAGCTAAGAGCAGTCCTAGGTTGCTAATATGGTTCACATATATGTGTATACCAAACCTGCCAATAATCTCAGCACAGTGTATATGTGCACATGTTAAAGCCAACAGCAGAATCATTGCTGTAATTTATGTCTTTCAATGTTATATGACATTTATATATTCATTGTGTTAGCAGAAGCAGAAAAGGAAAATATGCCTTTAAGAGTCAGTATAGAGGTGAGCTAATCACAGACAGCCTCACACTGTACAGAGCCTTAACCAATCACAGCCAGTTTCACATTTATGCCTGTGAAAACTCCCTGCTAGATTGTTCTAGAGCCACTTGCTCACCAGACAGGAGAGGAAACAGACAAGTTCCAGTCAGAAAAGCTTTATGGAGCCAGAGAAGGCCAAATAGGTATTTAATGCACTTGTGTGTTCCTCTGTGGTTTAGCAATGCAGGTAGATCTGTGTGTAAAAACTGTTGCGTGTGTGTTTACTTGTAGTTCCACCGAATTTATCAATCTACCGAAATAATCTAACGACATAAGCTAACGAACCTGTCGAATCTATCGAAATATACAGGACAAATCTATCGAGATAAGCTATCGAATCAAACCACTGTAATACAAATTAAACCATTGTAATATGAAAGAAATAAGTCACTGTAAGATAAACAAAACAAGCCATTGTAAGCAGTGTTATATGAAGAAGATTGAAGTTATTAAAGAAGTTTACTAAAGTATTCGGTGTGCTCTTTAAACCTACTGCATCCATAGAGCGGCATTGGAGGAATTACAGAGTAAAGTCAGTCTAATCAAACAAAGAAAGCAGCAATTGCATAATTGTTCTAATGCCACAGCGCACAAGGCACCAAAGGGTGCTGTGCCTGCCACAGTGGAACTATTACCCTCAGAGGTCAAGCAACAGCGCTCCTCAACTTGCACAGTAAAGAGTACACTAAAGAAACAGAGCGCCAGCATATACCGCCATACGGAGACACCTCAGTGGAACAGTACAGGCTATAGCACGTGCGCATTAGTCAGGCTGCAGCCGGCTCTTAAAGTGGCATAACGGCAAAGGCAAGACAGTCAGAGAAAGAGCGCCAAACCTCCTGCACCCCTAGAGAGAGAAAGAGATGCATGGGGTGAGGGCCAGAGTCCAGAGCTAGAGTGCCCGCACCGCTATCCATCAAGAGACCACGTGTTGCATCCAGAGAGTTCACGATACTAATCGCAAAGTCACCGCAGAGCATCGCAAAGTCACCGCAGAGCATCGCAAGGTCACTGCAGAGCATTGCAAGTCACCGCAGAGCATTGCAAGTCACCGCAGAGCATCGCAAGGTCACCGCAGAGCATTGCAAGTCACCGCAGAGCATTGCAAAGTCACCGCAGAGCATCACAAGGTCACCGCAGAGCATCACAAGGTCACCGCAGAGCATAGCAAGGTCACCGCAGAGCATTGCAAGTCACCGCAGAGCATTGCAAAGTCATCGCAGAGTATCGCAAGTCACCGCAGAGCATCGCAAGTCACCGCATCAAGAAAAGAAAAGTCTCCTTTAAGACTGACATTTGTTTCTGCAACCTTCAGATCACGGTATCCTGCTTTCCAATTAAGGTCAGAGCTTTCCTTTATTACTCACTTATGCACATAGGTTTCTGCAAGAGACATTTTTGTGCTCAAGAGAATACAGACTTTTAATAAAAGAGAGACAGTTATAGTATATGACTCTGAAGTATTTAAAGTGAAAGTCATTTATTGCCTGTGTTTTTTGGTGCTATTACATGTAAAGTGAAAGTCATTTATTCTTGCATTTGTTAGTATTGCATTTAAAGTGACAGGTCCTTATTATTCATATTAATTGTTATAGCATTCAAAAATGGCTGAGCCTAGCATTGCCACCCCACTGTTAGCGGATGCAATGATAGATATGGTAGAAGGTGAAGAGCAAGAGAAGCCGTCTGAATCTGAAAGGTGCAATGAAACGGTAGTCTCGCCCCAAACAAATATAGCTGAAACAGGTGAACTAAGACGTTCATCACGGGACAGAAAACTGACCCAAAAGGTGCTAGAAAATTTGGAGCAAGGGGCAGCACTAAAAGGAAAAAAAGTTTGTCCGAATATATGAGAGGTGGAAAGCATACATCAAAGACATTCGCAGAAAGCTAAAACAAGAGAGCATAAAGGAGAATTTGAGTGAAATGATAGAGACAGTAGAAGATTCTGAGTCAGAGCTTATGACAGCATGGGGTTTATTTACTAAACCTGGTTGACTCAGAATCTTGGGCACCTGTGCATGGTAGCCAATCAACTTCTAACCTTAGCATGTTCAGTTAAGCTTCAGCAATAAAACCTGGAAGCTGATTGGTTTTTATGCAGAAGTGGACAAGATTCTGAGTCAACCAGGTTTAGTAAATAAACCCCCATATGTCAACTTGCGGTCGTCCTTGACACCCTCCCAGGATATTGTAAGGAACATGGATACATGTACCGCAGTCAATAGGGATTTAGTGAAGCTTATGAGAGAACTATCATCTGCAGCAAATTATGATGAAGTCAAGGCACGAAAGGGAATGAATGAGCTCTTCATGAAAGACTATGCTAGGTCCTTAGGAGGAACCACAATCTCAAGTCTGACTTCCATCACTAGCAGAAGCGCCAGCCACATAACAGAGTTCTCAAGTACATCAACCAAAATAAAGGAATTAGCTGAACAACTCGCTGCCAAAAGAGCAGAAGTTGAGATGGAATCTGCCATTGAGGCTCAGCGGCAGGAAATGGAAGCTCAGCACCATAAAATGGAAGCTCAGCGCCATAAAATGGAAGCCGAAATGGAAGCTCAGCGCCATAAAATGGAAGCTGAAATGAAAAGTCTGGAAAGGCAGAAGGAAGTTAAGATTATAGAAGCCAGTGCACGAAGAGGATACGAATCAGGGTAGTCATAGATCCAAATCAGTACTACGTGGAGAAGCTGACTCCTACGTTCTTCCTTACGCCCAGGAAAATGGAAGGAAATCTTCAGCATGTAGTGAAGAAATAAGTCATAGTCCTTCCATCCCTGCTCAGAGAGAAAAGAAGAGAGACTCACCTGATTCAGAACAAAGTAGAAAAAGAGAACCAGATAATGCAACTCCCATATGTCATGGCAGTGGTCACAAGGATGTTGCAACTGTTGACCCGGCGAAACCTCAGAGAATATTTCTCACTAGACTTCCTGTTCCGGAACCTACTGTATTCTCCGGAGACGCACTGAAGTTTATAGAGTGGAAGGCAAGTTTTGAAATGATCATTGAACATCATTGCTCCCATCCAGTGGACAAGTTATTCTACCTCCAGCGGTATACTGGCGGAGAAGTAAAAAAGGTTCTTGAAGGTAACTTCTATAGGAAAGATGAAGAAGCCTACAAGCAAGCGTGGGAAAAATTAAATGCAAGATATGGTCATCCCTTCTTAGTGCAAAGAGCCTTCAGAGAGAAGTTGATAAACTGGCCTAAAATAGGTCCTAAAGAACACTTCAAGCTCCAAGAGTATGGCGACTTCCTGCAAGCATGCAGCAATGCTATCCCACATGTTCAAGGACTAGAAGTATTGAACGACTATCTAGAAAACCACAGGATGCTACCCAAGCTACCAGAACAAGTGGCTTCTGGATGGAATCGCTATGTGACTGAACAGTTAGATCACGGCAAAAATTTCCCAAGTTTCAAAGAGTTCTCTTAATTTGTCAATAAGGAAGCACGAAGAGCGTGTAATCCAGTAACAGCATCTTATGTCTTAAAACCCTTAGAAGAAAGGCCTACAAGAGAGATAAAACGCGCAAGAGCAACTAGCTTTGCAACCAACACGGCTACTAAAGGTCCAGATGCCCATGAGAGCAAGTTCAACGTCATTACTGGGATCAGTAAAGAGTTTGAAACGACAAGTCTTCAGACTACCTTCAAGTGTATGTTCTGTGAAGAGAATCACTCCATACATAAGTGCCAACAATTGAAGGAAAGGTCTCCAGATGAAAAGAAAAAGTTTGTGTTTGATAATCAGCTGTGTTTTGGATGTTTAATAAAAGACCATACTACTAAAGAATGCAATAAAAAGGCCACTTGCAGTGTTTGTAAAGGACGTCATCCTACCCCACTACATGAAGAACGTCCAAAGAAAGAGAAATCCTTAATGCCCAAGGACACTGAGGAAGAAAATAAAGCGACAGTATTCTCTTGCAGAGTGAGAGAAAGAGAAATCAATGGCACATCAATGGTTGTACCAGTGTGTATTTCAAATCCTAAAAGGAAGAACAAGAAGGTATACGCCTATGCGCTACTGGATGCCCAGAGTGACGTCACCTTCATTGATCAAAAAATCTGCAAGAAATTACAAGTGGCCACAGAACCAGTGAAACTCAAACTCACCACAATGACGGGAAGAGACACATTGGTGAACAGTCAAAGAGTCAAAGGACTGAGAGTTAGAGGACTCCACTCAAACTGCATATTAGATCTACCTCCAGCTTATACAAAAGACGACATACCTCTGGATCGAGATCACATACCTACCTGTGAAACAGCCAACAAATGGGAACACCTATCTGTCATATCTCATGAAATGTCCCCGCTGAAGGAATTTGGTGTTGGACTGTTGATAGGCTACGACTGTCCCGAGGCCACAAAAGATAATCGCAGGAGGAAAGGGTGAACCCTACGCAGTCCAAACTGATCTAGGATGGGGTGTTGTTGGAGGAAAACGACAGATTGCAGATTCAGGACAGTTGACAGGATTGTGTCATAGAATATCTGTCCAAGAGTTACCAACTGTAAGTCCAGCGAAAGTGCTCAAAATCCTAGAATCTGACTTTGCAGATGTAAGCTCTAATGAAAAGAGCGTATCCCAAGAGGGCATAACGTTTGTACAAGCTCTAGAAGATAATATTCAGCAAAATCAACAAGGTTATCTTGAAATGCCCTTACCTTTTAGAGAACGACCTCATCTGCCAAATAACAGAGATCTTGCCCTGGCAAGATTGAAAAGCTTAAAGAAAAGGATGGGAAGAGATCCCAAACTCAAAGACAATTATTTGAAATTCATGAAAGAAATCCTCAAAGAAGGGCACGCAGAGAAAGTTGATGGTCAGCCTAAAAATGGAGAAGTGTGGTAAATCCCACATCAAGGTGTCTATCACTCAAAGAAACCGGATAAGATCAGAGTAGTTTTTGATTGCTCAGCAAGGTACAATGATGTTGCATTGAACGATCATCTACTAAAGGGACCAGATCTTACAAACACTGTACCTGGAGTACTCTGTAGATTCAGAAAGTATCCCAGAGCAGTCATGTGCGACGTTGAAAAGATGTTCCACCAATTTCATGTGAAGGAAGAAGATAGAGACTTCCTGAGGTTCCTATGGTGGGAAGACGGAGATACAGAGCCAGCGGAATACAGGATGAAAGTACACTTGTTTGGAGCAGCATCATCCCCAGGTTGTGCCAATTATGGTATGAAGTATCTGGCCAATCAGAATGAAAAGGATTGTCCATCAGCAGCCAATATTTTGAAGAAAAACTTTTATGTAGATGATGGTCTTATAAGCCTAGAATCCTCAAAATCGGCAATTCAGTTGGTGAGAGAGAGCCAAGAGTTACGCGCAAAGGCAAACCTGCTTCTTCACAAATTCATCTCAAACGACAGAGAGGTACTAGAATCCATCAGTGACTCCGAACGTGCATTAACAATGAAGAATGTGGATCTTAACTATGATCCTCTTCCAGTTCAGAATGTACTCGGATTGGGATGGAATGTAGAAAACGACAATTTTTTCTTTGAAATATCCATGGAAGAGAAAGTTCCAACTAGACGTACCATTCTTTCTGCAGTAGCCTCAATATATGATCCGTTGAGATTCTTGGCACCAGTAATCCTCAGAGCAAAAGAAAATACTGCAAGAATTATGCAGACAGAAGTTGGGATGGGACGAACCCATACCTGCAGAATTGAGGCCAAAGTGGGAGAGTTGGATAAGAGACTTGCAAAATTTGAAAGAAATTCGGATACCCAGGTGTTTTGTAGTTCCTGATTTCGGAAAAGTACAAGAAAATAGAACTTCATCACTTTTCAGATGCCAGTAGTCATGGTTATGGTCAGTGCTCCTACATCAGAGCAATAGGAGAAGGGAAGATACACTGTGCCCTAGTTATGGGAAAGGCCAGAGTCGCACCCAACAATATTCAGACAATACCAAGACTCGAACTAACAGCAGCTGTCGTTTCAGCCTCAGTAAGTCAGTTTCTGAAAGAAGAATTGGAATTGAAAATAGATGAAGAGCATTTTTGGACAGACTCACAAGTTGTCCTAGGTTACATAAACAATGAAGCTCGAAGATTCCACACCTTTGTCGCTAACAGAGTTCAAAAAATTTGAAAAACAACAAATCCAGAACATTGGCACTATGTTGACACAAAGCAAAACCTGGCAGATCATGCTTCAAGAGGCCTAAATGTAACAGAATTGAAGAATTTAAACTGGTTCACCGGTCCAGAGTTCCTTTGGGAAAGGGAAATCATACCCAGTGAAGGTTATACAGAACTGTCTATGGGTGATCCAGAAGTAAAGGTAGTTCAAACATTGAGCACTGCCGCCAATTGTCCTGATGACATACTTGAACGACTAGCCAGATGTTCAAAGTGGAATACAGTCATAAACATAGTAGCTCGAAT